GCATTTTTGACATATATTACAATAATTATTAATCTTTTACTACATTGATTCCCGACTTCCAGCTATAGAATATACAATGTAAACCTGTGGCAAAAGATAAGTACCAAAAGACTACTTTATTCTTGATTATTTGTATACAGACATTTGGAACACATCAAGGACTCATCAACAGACTTTGCAGACATATTTAGTTAACATTATATACTGCCGCTAATTTAGTTGCACTCATGCAAACGTACACATTTGAAACATAAACTACTTTACTATTATATGCACTGTTAAAGAATGATATGTTCTGAGTAACCAGTCACTGAGAAAATGTTAAACCACCATGATAAAGAATTAAACCTCAAATGCAGTATTCAAATTGTAAAGCATTTTTGGACTTAACAGTTGTGATTTTTAAAGGTGCTGGCTCACAAGATTAATATTTCAAATTTCTGATTTCATGTCATAGCTGAATTCATTTCTAGTTGATGAAAATAGAGATTGCACATATATATTTCATAAGATAAACATCAGATTGTTTCTCAGATGATAATGGTTACATAGCATGTAGCACGGTACTGGCAAAACAATCTTGCTATAGAAGATATCTATTATTTATTATTTACAAACTGCTAATTAACTAATCATTCACTCACTATTCTCTGTTAATCAACTGAATAGTCTATTATTTACTATTAACTGGCTATGCCTCTTATTTATTCTTCGTTTTTAATTAAATGAGCGTGGGTGAATTTTTTTTTTTTCGAGCAAAGAATTATAGCTATAAAATGAAAGTTCAGCCAATGATATGTACAGCCTACTCTGACTCCAAGATTCTATTTACTAGATGTTCATCTCAGTTTCAAAAAGTCTTTTTTTAAAATATGTATATCTATTCTGAGATACTTCATTTAGTAAGTAGTATTTTTTTGTTGGGCCTACAGTGTGTTCACGATAATATGTCTACTCAGTTCAAAGAAACATAATTGGAAAAGAGGTGAGTGGAAGGTGTTCCCTATTTCCAAAAAGAAAAGGAGAGAAAAGCAGGTAAGCATTACTCTTGGAAATAATGATATTTTCAATAAGAGAGAGAAGAAGATGACCACTGATATACAATAATTCTGCAAAGATAAATGCTCATTTCCTGGCCTCTGCAACTTCATCCACTTTAGCTTTGAAAATAAAAGTTCACTAACACTGGTAAGAACAATTTCACCATCTCTTAGCATGTCCTGGATAGGTTTTATAGGTTTTATGCTGTAGGGTTCTTGGCAACAGTTGTACCGTTCATCATCTTCAGGGCATCAGGACAAACTAAAACTGAAGTTTTTTTCTTTTTCTTTTTCAAATCCAATTACATAAGGAAAATAAATTAAAAATAAACTATTGTGCAAATTCTTTAACATTTATATCTTTTTCACATTACAGTTTTAAAGTTAGAGACTATAAGGGACAGTTAGGAGTGTATGTGTGCATATCTTTATTTCTGTTTAAATGTTAGAATTTCTTATGTTTTATGTTAGGTCTCTGAACTACAGAACTGTGAAGCTTAATTGCTTAATTGGTTTTAAATTTTATCAAGTATATTTATGTTCCAGCTGAAGGTATAAATCATAAATTTGTGATGGCTCTAATTGGTACAAATGTGTCATTTTTCTTGCTGCCAAGAAAGAGATGTGAAAATTAAATTATTTTGATACATATTTTGCAAATAGTGGTGGTGGTTTTGAGGGCATAGTGAAAGAAAAAGATAATCAAGGAACTTAGGATTTTGGAAGAACAATTTTCTTTTTTATTAAGAAAGTTAGGTTTAAGTAGAAAAAAAAAAACCTAAAGGAAAAAAGGAAATGTTATGTTGTGATCCCCAAAAACTCAGGCAAGACAATAGAAAATCAACAAATAGGATTGCATCAAGCTAAAGACTTCTACACAGCAAAGGAAGCAGTCAACAGAATGAAGAGGAAATCTATGGTATGGGAGATGATATTTACAAACCATATATCTGATAAGGGGTTAATAAACAGAACATCTAAGGAACATAAACAACTCAGGACCAAAAACAACAAACAACCAATTTGAATTGGCCTTTTTTTTTTTTCAGAATAAGGCATACAAAGGCCAACAGGTATATGAAAAATTGCTGAATATCACTAATCATCAATGAAATGCAAAACAAAGCCACAATGAGATATCACCTCAAACCTGCTAGGATGACTACTATCCAAAAAACAAAAAAAAAAAACAAGCATTTAGTAGGATGTGGAAAAAAGAGAACTCTTGCACATTGTTGGTGGGAATGTAAATTAGTACAACCATTATGGAAAACAGTATGGAGGTTTCTTAACATAGCCATAATACCCAGTGATCACTTTTCTTAGCATATATCCAAAGGAAACAAAATCCGTATCTCAAAGAGATATTTACCCTCCTATGTTCATTGCAGCATTATTCAAAATAGTCAACATATGGAATCAACCTAAGTGACCACCAGCAAATGAATGGGTAAAAAAATGTGGCATATGATGGAATACTGTTTAGCCTTAAAAAAGAAGAAAAAAGAAATTATATATATTTCCTCTTTAAATCTGTAACATGTTGAGTTATATTAATAGATAATTACACTGTTCATACATTTCTGATGAGTCCAATTGATCACACTACATTTCTATGCATTATTTGATACATTTGGATATGTTTATAAATATTTTATTTTGGTGAATTTATGATTATAAATTAAATTTGTTTATAATTTTCAATTCCCATATTGACCTCTGATTTTGTTTTTTAAGGTTATAACTGCATCACATGACGAGTTATGTAGTAATCCTTCATTTTATCTTCTTGAGAACACTTTATAAGTCATTGAATTTACCTGATACTTTTATTTATAGTAAATTTATCTCAGTATGAGATCATAAGACATTGTCTTTTCTTTTCATACAGTAATAATGAATGCATAGCATTTTGATTGTCATATGTGTGTATGTTTTATGTATGAAGGAAGGTGTCAGAAAACATTCAATAGGACATGTTAGTTAAAATAGATTTGATATGTGCAATTCAGATAAGAGTGCTTCGTATAGCACAAAAGAGAACAGAACTTTTTTCAACCAATCTCAGTCAAACTACTTTATTATCTTCTGGGATAATGGGTTTACATTTGAAGGTATAGAAGGCATTTAATAAGAGAAAAATACAGAAAAAGTCTATTTTACTAGCTCACATGGCAACATAAATCATTTCCCCTTTACCCCATGTCTATAACTTCAGTGTTACCCTCAACTAAGCCAGAAATTCTGTTTCCACGATAATTTTTCTCGATCATGTTTTCACAAAAGTATTTAGTTAGATTTGTGTGAGCTAAATAACGATGAAGATTAAAAGTCTCTTTACCTTAAAAACGCTGTATGTAGGGCCGGATGCGGTGGCTTATGCCTGTAATCTCAGCACTTTGGGAGGCCGAGGGAGGCGGATCACAAGGTCAGGAGATCAAGATCATCCTGGCCAGCATGGTGGAACCCTGTCCTACTAAAATACAACAAAATAGCCGGGTGTGGTGGCGGGTGCCTGTAATAGCAGCTACTCGGGAGGCTGAGGCAGGGGAATCGTTTGAACCCAGGAGGCAGAGATTGCAGTGAGCCGAGATTGTGCCACTGCACTCTAGCCTGGCATCAGAGCAGGACTCCATCAAAAACAAACAAACAAACAAACAAACCTACCTCAGCATATAATTCCTGCTAATAAAACTACCTCGATCTACTTTTTAGCTTTTTCTTTAATGTCTTGTATCCCATCTCTAACTTTTTAAAGAATAATATATCTTGAAAAAGTCAATGTTCATTTTTAATAGAAATATAATTTTACTTATCAGCATTATTGGATTTAAAGGTGTTAATTTAAGGAACCAAAGTAAATTGAAATTCTGTGTCCCTCATCATCTCTTTTCTCTGAAAATGCTATCAAGAGAGGGAAGAATTCTATTTTCAGCATGTGTCGCTGAACTGACTTCATAGGCCTTGTCCCTAGTTGCAAAACACAATTATACTACTTACAAAGTATATTAGCACTAATCTCACTAATTTCATTAGACTGAATTATTTTTATGCATTTTGTTTGAATTGGGAATACAGAATTTATAGCAATATCATCTTCCTTTGGAAATAGCAAAAGTATGACATCTTTTTTCTATATTCATAATCACAAGGGGTCACATCAGAGATCAAGGGATGATCTAGTAATAAACGCTAGCAGGTGATACTAACATAGCTCTTCTTTACATTGTTTTTATAATAGCCTTAAAAATAATCCTTCACATAGTCCTCTGAGAGTCATTTTTATTGCTATTTCCCATTTTGAAAAATTATTTGGGAATACAAGTAAAATAATTTAATTTTGAATCAATAGAAAAAGCCATGTACCACTAACATTCTTATTTTTTTAATTATATTTCGGTTTGAAGAAAAAAATCATTTTCTCATGCATTTGTCAACTGCTCTTTTGTTTTGACTTTAGAGTAGACATAAATAAAGGACGTATAGAATTTAAGTTATTTTTATTGATATAAAATAACTGTTCATTATATAATTGTAGTCACATTGTGTGAGATATAATTCATGATACATAAATACAACTTTGTTTCTTATTTTTCAATTTTGAAAATAACTCTAAGTTAAATAAAATGTCCTTTCTGAGTCTTGTCTTTTCACACTTGCCTTTTTGTCCCAAAGTTATGGAGTTGGTAATTCTGTAAGCTTTTAATTATACAAAGACGTTAATTGCTAAATACAGTTGGAGCATAAGTGATAACATACCTCATTGTCTTCAATTTAGCTTGGTCTCTCCCTTAATAACACTGTGGATGGTCTTGACTCTGTCATTTTTCAGGTCTATCTTTCCTTTTCTATACCACAGACAGTCTGTCTTTGCACAATTCCCAAATCTGAATGAACTGTTGAAAGCTACCTCTAAGCAGTACTTTCACTTTTTTCTTTGCCAGCCTGGGAAATGTTCACTGGGTTCCAAGCTGCTGTGGCTTCCAGTGAGTTGCCATCACCTGTGTCTCCACAGCCTTTGATGGGATCCTCCACTGAACATATTCACCTTTATGCAGATGCTGATGAACTTGCAGCTTCTGACACTTCGGTCTCCTGGAAACACATATCACTCAGGTAAAGATGGCCACTTATCTTTTCCAGTTTTTTAAACTTTGAAGCTTGAAATCCTTTATTCCATTCTCTACCCAGATGATATAGTTTGTATGTTTACCCCTTTCAAATCTTATGTTGAAATTTAATTCCCAACATTGAAGGTGGGGCCTAGTGGGGCTTAGTAGGAGGTGTTCGGGTCATAAGGACGGATGCCTCCTGAATGGCTTGGTGCTGTCCTTGCAGAACTGAGTGAGTTCTCATTCTATTAGTTCAGTCAAGAACTGACTCTTAAAAAAGTAGCCTGACGTCTCCTCTCTCTTGCTTCCTCTCTTGCCATGTGACATGCCAGCTCCCCTTGCCTTCATCCGGGAGTAAAATTTTCTTGAGGATTCCGGAGCTGAGGAGTTGCCAGCACCATACTTCTTGTACAGCCTGAAGAACTGTAAGCCAAACGATCCTCTTTTCCTTATAAATTACAGTCTCACATGTCTCTTTAGAGCAATGCAAAACAGACTAAATAACTCAATGCAATTTCGTCTTTGGCTTGATCCCCAAAATATTAAACAATAATTAAAACTTTCCTTTTGTGTTTTTCACCATAGCATTTTTCCTCTTTTGTTCTGGCACACACAAATTAAGATAGAGGGGTAAATTGAAGCTAAATCATAGGAAACAGTATTCGAATGCATCCTTCATTTGAGTTGTGGATGTTATTTGATTTATCTTTCATTTGTGCTAATGAGCTGTCACAGCGAAAAGTGCTATATAATTTCTCAATTTTCCAGATATCCTGAATTCTTAAGAATATCACCCTACTTGATTGTGTTGCTAAAAGTGCATATTGCTGTGAACTTTGAGTAATGTAAATCCCTAATTTAAGAAAACTACCTGTTTATACAATCACTCAGACCTAAATTCAAATATCTATATATGAATAAATATGTTTATGTATACAAGCATACACATATATATCTATATGTATTTATGTGTAGGTGTATAAATAATACCTACATTTGGATTATATTAAGAGATAGTTCATCATAGCCATTTATTTCTGATAGGACTGTGTATTAGCCCATTTTCACTCTGCTGTAAAGAACTACCTGAGAATGGGTAATTTGTAAAGAAATGAGGTTCAATTGGCTCACAGTTCAGGATAGCTGGGGAGACCTCGGGAAACTTGCAATCATGGGTGGAAGGCGGAGGGGAAGCAAGGCATGTCCCATATGACACCAGGAGTGTGAGAGCAAGAGAAGGGAAGTGCCACAGTTTTAAACCATCAGCGCTCCTGAGAACTCACTATCACAAGAACAGCAAGGGAAAAATTTGCCCTCATAATCCAATCATTTTCCACCAGCCCCCTCCTCTGACACGTGGGAATTACAATTCAAATTACAATTTGAGATGAGATTTGGGTGGGGACACAGAGTCAGTCCATATCAGACTTGAGATCAGGTAAAGTAATCAGGACAAATTAGAATACTACATGAATTAAATGATTTCCTCTGTTTTATACTCTCCTCCTTACATCCCCCATGCTGTTGTGAGACTGACCCTCATAAAAATTTTAATCTATGATTTCAACACTCTGTACAAATAACTCTGATGGCTCTCTTTTGCCTGAAAGAGAAATTTTCAACATTGCTTTAACTTTTTCTGAAAATAACTATAACAAATGCTCTTTATATAAATAAAATATGTCTATAAACACATGGCTATTATTATATAAGTGCTGTTTATAATTCATGGCAAAGATATGCTTGATCAACTGATTTATTTCTCACTACATAAGTATATCATCATGCAAGAGAATGATTATGACATAGGTGGGCTAAATTGAAACCCATTTTAATTTATATTTTTACAAATATAAATTATGTATCCCCATATGAAATTAATGAGTGACAAATCTTTCTTGCATTCGAATGAATTACAACATCAGAGATAAGAATTATTAACTTGAGGGACAAATGTCCTACTCAAATGCAGTAGAGTCCCTGCACAATTCAGTCCATATTTACTTCTTTACCTTATTTTTCAATATTTTTATTCTATAATGATCCTCCAACGTACTTCTATTTATTATACCCAGGAAATTTTGTTTGTAACATTTTCCTTTCTTCTTTTGCTTTTCCAAGTTTTATCTCCTTTTACTTAATCCTTTATAGAAAGTATTTATTCTGAATCTGAGTCCAAAATAATCTGATCATTCCGTTCGAAAGCAAGTGGAACTTACTATTTTGAAAATGTATTAATTATATATGTAACAATTATATGCAGTGTAAATGATTAATTGTATATGTTCCCACAAATTCTCAATAAATCACATTATACATATATAGTGTATGTTTGTGTATGTGCATGTGTGTGTGTGTATATATACATGCTCTCACATGCCTATCTGTGGGGGAAGTGTGTGTATGCCCACAGGTAGGCATGTGAGAGCATATATATACATAGCGTATATTTGTACTCCTGAATTCACAATAAAATATGTGTTTCTATCACCAGAGGTTATCTTGTTGTTTAAGACCATAAATTACCTCAATCTTCCCATAGGAAAATATTCTAACCAATATTTCTATTAATTCCGGGAATATACAATCTTGTGCTTTTACACTGCTGCCCATTGATTCCAAATTTCACAAATTTGTCACCTCTTATTGTGACTACCTACTTCCAGTCTCTTCTCACTGTGCTACACAGACTTGAACATGCAATTCAGTCACTGCTCTCCATTTCTCAGAAATGAGAGATAGAAAGAGATAGGGAGGGGGGATATTAAATAAAATATTTCATTAGGCCATTCTGTTTGTCCCAGAGTTAAAAAATTCTTGAAGAAAATGAAGGATAGGACTCAATGTAGAACATAAGAAGTTAAGTTTTAGTAACAGGCAGCCCTGTTCCTTATATTCTTCCATCATTCTACTATCAGGAATTGTCTACTGAACACTCCACCTTGTAGGGTTTGTTGTCACTACAGTATTGCCTGTCCCTTTCTCTGTAGTCTTTCTTTTCCCTTCCTTCTCCTCTTTCTTCTATTTTAAAATTTCTCTTTATTCTGTAGAGTGTTTGTTGGCCATCTCCTTGCTTTTCCTTACCAATACCTGGCATCGACTCGTCCCCAGCTAAATTAACATGTTGAAGTTATAGCCCCAGTGTGACTCTATTTGGAGGTAGGGCTTTAGGAGGTAATTAAAGTTAAATGGAGTCCTGGTGGGGGGATGGTGTAATCTGATAATCTGATAGGACTGGAGGTCTTATAAGAAGAGAACTGTCTGTCTAGATCTCTCCCTCTCTGTCTCTCTCCATGCACACACTGAGGAAAGATAAGGTGGGGGCAATGCAAGAAGGTGGCCGTCTGCAAACCAGGAAGAAAGCCTTACCAGAAACCAAATTGGTACCTTGATCTTTCACTTCCCAGCCTCCAGAACTGTGAGAAATAAATGTTTTTTGTTTATGCCATCCAGTGTATGGTATTTTGTTATGAAATCCCAAGCAGACTAATACCGATTTGAAGTCCTTAAAATTCTAACTCCGTAAAGATGTTCATATAATTCCTTAAACATAAGTAATTTTCTCCTTAAGAATAGGCTTTGCAATGGATGGTAGAAATAAATGTTATTTTTCACCTTTTTTGTATTCAGTTCAACCTATGCTACAGGATTCAGCATTTTGTTTGAGTCTGTGATGCTTATTAGAATGCCCTGATCATACTGGGAATGGATAAGATGAATAATAGTGGTAATGATACTAGAACTGGCTTGAGTACAACCAGTAGCTAATTGTCAAAAGTATACATTGCAATCAATTAGAATTGATCAATCTAGTTAATTGTCACATTGTTCATTTTTTATTAACTACATTTTTTGGAATTTTACTATCTTCATATATTTATACTTGCCTTTTAGTAAAGTTTTATTTTCTTTTTAGCAAAATCACTTAGAGTGTTTCTATTCAAAATGGAATTTTTAAAAATTTAGTTTTCATGTAGCTCTGACTAAGTCTTAACCATAAATTACTTACTCTTTCTCTGTCTGTTTTTATTATATAGATTGATTTGCTGTCCAAGAATAAAACTCATTCTCCTTAGCCAACAAGTTACCAATACTGAAGATTTTGACAGTATTGTCAAATCTTCTATTTTTTTCTATATTTTCTAGACAATCCAGACTGACTCATTTTATTTAAAAACAAAGTCCAGATCAGAAAACATCAAGTTACATATATATTTCTAAAAACATCTGATAACATCTGTGTTTGTTTCTCAATAAAAACACCAATTTTTATTTCAGTCTGAAAAATTCAGATCAATTTTACTCTGATAATTTGGAAATAGTCCTGTTTTGCTATTCCATTTAAATTGTTAAAGATATTCTTATTTCTATTAGAAGATTATAGAACATGAAAACTTAAGGCTCTTTTTCTTTCACGAAAAAAATATTAGTGGAAACCAAGTCATCTTACTTTTAGCTTGAATTGAAAACAAACCTACAACACCAATAGTCTTATTTTTAATTTTATTTTTACTTTGTATAATCCTTTAAGAATTATTAGTATTGAATCTGAGTTCAGTAAATTCTTGATCAGACACCACAACATATCCCCCAATGATAATTTAATGAAAGTTACTAGTTCAACCTGTGTTGGAATAAACATGTAATATTTTGTTTTATTTGAGATCTTAAAACTACTGGTCATCAGGAACTTGTAAGGGCTTTGAATCAGACTAATTTTATCTTTTGTGTAATCTTTTTAGTGCTGGCAACTTGGATAAGATAATTAACCTGTTTGAATCAAGCTGTCTAAATTTATAAAGTGATGATAATTATACCTACTGCATGGAATTGTTCTGAGAGTTAAATTTAAAAATCACTAAATTGAGTGTGTTTTTCTAAAATTTCTAACTCTTCAAGTATTAAAAACAGAATAAACATTATAGCCATTATTATTATTTTTAATAATTATTGCTGCACATACAAATAAAAATAGTAATTTAAAATACTAAATACAGGAAGTATAGATTCAGTATTCCTCTTGTATTTAACCTGTTAGTTCTTGGGAAATTAAGAAACGAAGTTGAAAAGTCATTGCTTATAATACAAGATACCTAAAAGACAGACCACATTCTACCTTTGAAATTATTAAACCTGACAACCTTGTCCTACTTCTGATCTCCATACATTCTCAAGCAATAAATGTCTCAAAAGTCCCTGACCTGTCTTTAGCCATAAAATTATTTTTTGTTTGTAAGTCCTTATCTTCTCAAAATACTACTTAATCTCTATTTAAAGTACATTTTTTATGACATCTGTCTACTTCTTTCTACTTTTCCCAATTTAATCAGTATTTCTCTTCCTATTGACACAGAAAACATTGTATTGATATCTCTATAACAATATACAACATCAGGCATTATGAGCTCTCTACTTAGATTCCGCATCTAGACCATGAGTTTATTCAGAATCGTTATTACTTACTAATTGTCTTTATATCCCAATGACTAGCAATAGGCTTCCAACAGATTGCATTCATAATATGCATTTATACATCATTCTCTTAACTTTTAAGAAATGATGCAGGGCACAGTGGCTCACGTCTGTAATCCCAGCACTTTGGGAGGCTGACAAGGGCAGATTGCCCGAGGTCGGGGGTTCGAGACCAACCTAACCAACATGGAGAAACCCTGTCTCTACTAAAAATACAAAACTTAGTCAGGCATGGTGGCACATGCCTTTAAGCCCAGCTACTTGGGAGACTGAGGCAGGAGAATCGCTTGAACCCAGGAGGCAGAAGTGGCAGTGACCTGAGATCACGCCATTGCACTCCAGCCTGGGCAACAAGAGCAAAACTCTGTCTCAACAGACAGATAGATAGATAAATAAATAAATAAATAAATAAATAAATAAATAAATAAATAGACCATGGCTTTCCCAAAATTGTACAGTAAGCAAGATGTCATATATAACATTGTAAGTATAGATCCAATCAATATGAATAATAGCTGTATTTTCTAGTGTGAAAGAAACAAAATTTTATGATAAATTGAGTTTTTGCAATACTTAATTTGAAAAGAAACAATAAAACAGCTTATATTTCAAAGAGAAAAATGAATAACTTAGAGAGTATTATAAGTTCAAACTACATAAAATTGCTGTTTCCTTTGGACAGAGCCAAAATGTAGAGAAGGCAAAAATCTATTCTCTCTCATTTCTGCATTTGAATTTTATGGCACCTCACAAAAGCACTCATCAAATCTTGTGGAAATTATCTTGATTTTCTTTCAGTTTTGCTTTCGATTAAAAAGCAGTATAAATTTCATTGCTTTGGTTTATTTTTCAACTCAACTATTTTGAAAAGTTTGTGTAGACATCTCTATGTCATGTATAAATACATTAAAAATACAGTACCTAAGTTATGAAATAGACAACATAACATGACTGTGCTGAACCCTTTCTATAGATTCATCTAGATCCCTTTTCCACTGTTCTCCCAACCTATCCTGTATCACCAGGAGGCTGACATTTCTAGGATGTAACAAAGGCTCTCCTTACTTTCTGACTGCTGATTGGTCAATGAGAGGCATGAGGAGATCAGAGAGATGACAGAAAGAGCTTATAATATTTTTTCTTTCAGCTCCATAACTGATGTATTTTTCTATACAGATTGATCTGTAGAGCAATTTTTCTCATAATTGTGTTGCACTACAATTTTACTAATGTTTTATATTAGCTAGTTCAAGATGTTCAGAGTAATTGCTTTCTCATATATATGAGAAAGTAACAGCATACATAATTATATATAATATACATATTTTATATATTGTTTCTATATATGCTCTATATAGGAAAAAATCTATAAGCACACACTTTCTTCACTTATTTAGTACAGTTTTATAGTGAAGTTATGTATCTTTAACTCGAGATTAGCATATATAAATGTGTTGTATTAGAATGTAATTGTGCATTTTTATACATTGCAGAAAAGATATTTACAAGTAAATAAGCACTTGTGTTTACATAATATATCAAAGATATAAAAAGTTCATTCTGGGAACACCCCATTTAACAACTAAGCATTAGCTAGTTCTTATATCTTTATATAAATGCATTATGGAAAAAATGAGTATAGCCAAATTTTTCTTTCAAGCTCATGATGAAATTAATTTGTATATTATTGTATTATTTTTGAAGCAATATGGTTAAATGGATTTTTCTTCATTTTCTTAGAACTGTGTTATTTAAAATCCTGACTGTTTATTCATCCAAATGCCATTCTCCGTAAGAATTCAAAGAATAATGTATTATCAAATTTAGTTATTTAAAAGCATCCTACTTGCCATTATTGATACTTGTGATTATAACTTTTTAATTTTTTAATTTTTTAAAATTTACTTTGTCTTAGACTCTGTAAAATTGAACTTTTAGCACACATTTTATCATATAGTTCCCAAGATAATAATACATCTTATTGATTTGCTATTCTGTACTGGGTCTTATTTGCCTACATCTTCCTGGTGTCCATGACCCGCAATTAGCAAGCCTAGCACTATTCATAATAGCAAATACATGAAATCAACATAACTGTCCACCAATAGTGGATTGGATAAAGAAAATGGAATAATACATAGCCATGAAAAAAGAAACCATGTCCTTTGTAGCAATACGAACACAATTGGAAGCCATTATCTTAAGGAAATTAACATAGGAACAGAAAATCAGATACCACATGTTCTCACTCATAAGTGGGAGCTAAGCATTTGATACACATCGACATAAAGGTAGACACTAGGGACTACAGGAGGGAGCGGAGAGAGAGGGCAGTAAGGGCTAAAAAACTACTTGGGTACAATGCTCACTACCTCTACCTGAGTGATGGAATCACTCATAACACAAACCTCAACGTCACACAATATACCCATGGAGCATACCTGCACACGTATCTCCTGAATCTAAAATGAAAGTTTAAATTATAAAATAATAAAAATTAGTTGGCTGAACTCAGATTTTACTTCTCCCACTTCCTGTTATTTTATGTCTTCTCTTTCTTATGAGAATATTACATTGATCATTACTTTCATTTCCTTCCCTGTGGTTCCTCACTTCCAGAATTAAATGTTATTTCTCTGCCAAATTTCAAATCTTAACTTGCACCCTTCTATCCTCTGAATTATTCCAGTTGCTTCAATTAACAGTTAGGCTAATATTTTCACAGACTTTCAAGAAAAGTTTGAGACAACTTCCAATAATAATAATAAACCACATTTGTATAGGTTAAGTATAATAATACTAAAATAATTGCTATATCCCTATTAAGAATAAAGGAGAGGACTTTTTATTAGGACTTAGAATGGAGGTAATTGATTACATCATAACAAATAAATACTACATTTACATGTAATTATAAGTGATATTTAATGTCTGTTAATTTACCATGTAAGATGATTTAGTCTTCTCAGTGCATTCTAAGCTCACTGAAGGCAGGGAATTGACTGCACTTTTTGTGTGAATATGACACAGAGTCTATACTATATGTTCAATCATTGCAAATTCACTGACTAATTAATAGGGACGTTAAATCTGTTCCACAGTTTGTGGCTGCAGATTTTATTACTAAGATTTTATGGCTCAATTTATCTTTGTGACTCTTGTTTTTTGTCTTCAACTAAAATACATCATCTCATATTTTCTACAGGCCATGCTCAGCATGATCTTCAAATTGCTGGATCTACTCCGTTTAACACTTCAGGTTGTATGACTCTAAAGTTTACTGTTGTAACCAATAACAAATACCATATTTGCATGGTCATTAATTTCAGACACATACATGTAGAAGGACCATGAACCAATGAAATTGAACCCAGAGTAAGACGGAAGATTTAAAAGGAATTTTTTTCATATATTTCATTGGACAAGTGTCTATTTTGAACAATTGATTTTTATTTTACTTTTCTATTTCTTTAATATCAGAGTATATTTGCCATAATAGGAATGTCTATCTTTGTTTATTTTTGGATAGTAAATAGAAAAGAGTGATACATGTAAATGTGTCATAAAACTCACATTCTAATTATTAAAATTAAAGTTAAATGGTGACTTTTACTTTACATATGGCTTCTAAAACCTTTTTGTCTGTCACAAAATTGTGGGCACAGATACTATCAAACCCATAAATTCCAGCAGATTAACAAGCCTCTGTCAATTTTGCACCCTAGAGTTTTTAAATGTTTTCTGTTAAACAGCACATTTTTTTAGTAGTAATAGAAGTATTTTTAAAAAGACTATTGTAAAATACAGAAAGGTTTAGAAAAATTATTCTACTCATATCTAACAAAAGTTAACGTAAAATAAAAAGGTTAAAATACATTTGGTTAGAATGAAGAGAAGATGGTAAAAATAAACATTTTGTATAAAAACTACTAATCAGAAAGATTAGTTCCAAAGAGTTTGTACTAGATTTAAAAGATTTTTGAAAAAGTTTCAGAGAAATTAATATTTTAAAATTGTATGATAGATATTAATAACAATACGTATACATTCCCAGGTAGAGAAATTTATTATATCATACAAATAAGATAAAACTATCATCCTTTAATAAGAACAAAATAATTCTAGACATAGGGTTGTCACAGTGGCTGACATCTGTAATGCCAGCATTTTGGAAGACCGATGTGGGAAGATCACTTGAGGCTAGGAGTTCAAGACCAGCCTGGACAACGTAGCAAGGAGAAAAGAAAAGAAAAGAAAAAATGAAGTCTCTACAAAAGAAAAGAAAAAATGAAGTCAGGAAATGTGGTGAGTGCCTGTAAGTCCCAGCTGCTTCAGAGGCTGAGCCAAGGGAATCACTTGAGTACAGGAGTTTGAGCTTTGCGGTAACATATAATCACACTGTACACCAGCCTGGGCAACATTATTATTTTCTAGAATGAAAATAATTTTTCTAGACTAATGATTCTAGAAAATTAAGATATAGAAGGAAGATCAAAGATAATATATGTATTTATATGTATTAATTATTGATTATTTAACATCATTTTCTACAAAAATAACACATCATGCTCTGGAAAAATATAGACGATAAAGTAAATACACCGTTGGAATTTTTTTTTTTTTTTTTTTTTGAGATGGAGTCTTGCTCTGTCATCGAGGCTGGAGTGCAGTGGCACGATCTCAGCACACTTCAACCTCCGCCTCCTGGGTTCAAGCAATTTTCCCCACCTCAACCTCCCAAGTAGTTGGGATTACAGGCACCACCACCACGCCCGGCTAATTTTTGTATTTTTTAGTAGAGACGGGGTTTCACCATATTGGCCAGGCTGGTTTTGAACTCTTGAGCTCAGGTATTCACCCACCTCAGCCTTCAAAAATGCTGGGATTACACGTGTAAGCCACCATGTCTGGCCACCATTGGAAATTAACGCATAGCTTTTCAACAACTATAAACCCCAAAATACTGGTCATGATTACAAAATATCAATTATGCCTCTCCTCTCACAAGAATTATCTTACCTAATCTGTATATGTACATTTGTGGTTATATTTTCAGGAAACTGTTACATAATTATTAAATTATTATGAATTTATGTATGCTAATTTGAATAAAAATTTTCCCAAAGGCTTCTTATTTTCAGTTTCATTTTATTACCCACCTGGTCAGCTTCACTTTTGTTGTTGATGATAATTATGATGTTATTGATTCCTATGTCTTACTTTCATGCCTTTGTTTATAGAAATTGCAGGAGAAATTACCTGCTTAATTGTATGCAGAAAGGAAGGTGAGTTATAAATATTATACATGTTTGTGTCTACAAAATGTATTTATTGTTCTAAAACATGAGTAATAGAATGACTGAACAGAGATCTAGGAGCAATTTAATTTTCACTGAAAACATTTGTAAGAAAGACATTGTTACAGTGAACTAGCGGTCAAATGCCAATTTGATTTTTTGTTATATGCTTAATTGTAATATTACTGTCTTTCCATTTCCTCTATCGTCTAACTCCCATATCTAGAATTTAAGATTTATGTCAATCTCTTACTCAAATCGTTATTTATCCAAAATTAACTATTTTAATTTCTTTTTTCTCTGTGACTTAGTGTTTTTTTAAAACATATTTTAAAAATAGATGTCATATTTTCTGGATATTTATACTCAGCTTTCATTTGAGTCCAAGTTCACTAACCCAGTTTTTATCACTTTCTAGTGTGTGGGAATACAGAAAGTACACAACTATTAAAGACCAGAAAGAGAAATCAGAGATAGCACGTCTGCTCACATCCCTAGCAGACATCACAGGAGTATACATATCTGAAAACAGGTCTGGAAAATACCGTCCTATAGCTGGACAGGGAGGCACCCTGATAAAGCACAGTTACTACAAAGAATGGGTAAGCAGATAGCGTATATGACCAGCAGTCTTTCACATCTGGGAATTCTTGAAAGTTCATTTATGTTGATAATTTTTAATTGAGATATCAGTTATGGATTATCTATATTGGAATCCTAGCCCTAGCCATTAATAGCTGTATGAAACTCAGGAAAGTTATGTATCTTCTCTGTAATTATGTTTCATCATCTATAAAAAAAGGGAGATAACAGCATAGACAACCCATTATAGGGTTGTTATGATAAATAAATAATATATGTAAAAATCTTTATTTTCATTTTATTTTATTTTATTTTATTAAGACAGAGGCTCACTCTGTCACCCAATCTGGAGTGCAATGGCATGATATCAGCTCACTGCAACCTCCACCTCCCAGTTCAAGCGGTTCTCCTGCCTCAGCCTCCTGAGTACTTGGGATTACAGGCACTTGCCATCACGCCCGGCCAATTGTGTGTATTTTTAGTAGAGACAGGGTTTCATCATGTCGGCCAGGATGGTCTTGAATTCCTGACCTCAGATGATCCGCCTGCCTCGACCTCCCAAAGTGCTGGGATTACAGGCATTAGCCACCACACCTGACCAAAAATTATTAAATACTTCCCAGATATATAGTGGGGTTTTTTTGTTTTGTTTTTGTTTTTTCAAAACAGGGTCTCACTCTATCACGCAGGCTGGAGTGCAGTGGTGCAATCTTGGCTCACTGCAACCTCTGCTTCCTGGGTTCAAACAATTCTCCTGTCTCAGCCTCCAGGTACCTGGGATTACAGGCACACACCACCACGCCCAGCTAATTTTTGTATTTTTGGTACAGACGGGGTTTTGCTGTGTTGGCCAGCTGGTCTCAAACTCCTGACTTCAAGTGATTCACCCACTTCGGCCTCCCAAAATGCTGGGATTACAGATGTGAGCCACCGTGCCTGGCCATGTGTTTTATGTTATGCAGGATATTTATGTGAGTCTGAGTTGAGTGTGAGTGTCTGTGTGTGTGTTGTTTATACTTACATACATCTTACGTACATTACTGGATTGAGCCTTATTGCTGTCCCTAAAGTGCCTGTGAGTTTTCATAGAGACTTAACATTTTCCCCAATGTTTATTATTAGGGATCTTGTGCCCTACCTAGAAATGTTAGGGTGTGTGCCTTTTTATATGCATTAAAATTAATAAAAATGTGGTACTATGAGCTTCATACTTTCATTCGCTCCTCTTTTACTTTAACAATTTTTTATTGAGTATCTAATAAATTCTACACTTAGTAATTGTTACTGTTGATATTATGATTTAACAAGATAGATAATGTTCTTCCTTTCACGCTTTATATTAGATTGGATAAGACGGTATATAAGCAAATAAACAAATTAGCAAAGTTAGTTAACTGTGAGTTATAATATGTGCTCTACATAAAAATAGTAAGGTGCTAAAATAATGAGAGAGGATTTGGTAGAGATTCTCTGAAGAAGTTAAATGCATCTTTTTATTTTAAGATGGAGCCAGCCATGACAAAAGTCTGGAGAAGAGTGTTACAAATAGAACAAACTAAAACTCAAATATACTATCATCAACATTTTTTAAAATGTCCCACATGCCATGCCTTTTCATAAAAATCAGACTTTAGTAGAATTTTGCTAAAGGTGGAGAAGCATTATAGAAAACCAGAGTAAATAAAATAAAAGTGACATTCTACTTTTAAGATTACTTTTTCCCCACCATTATGTTTGGTAATTGTTTTCTCTCTTCTTTCTGCTTTTGCTTTCTTCTCTTTCTTTCGTCCATGTAATTTCTGACTTCTGATTTTTTTAAATAGACAGTAATTTAACCATTTCTTTTGTTACACTTGATTTCTTCTAATCTATGGATTATTAGTGCATAGGTTCTACCTCAAATTGATGATCAAGATAATTCCTTAAATAAAGATGCAGTCTTATTTAAAAAAAGTTTTTACTGCAGGTTGATTATTTATATATTATTATATTTCTACTGGCATACATCATTTAATTGCAATTCACCTTATAGTGCTTTGCAGAATTGCATTTTTCTTTTCTTTTTTTTTTTTTTTTTTTTTACCAAGTGTAGGTTTGTGGCAACTGTGCATCAAGCAAGTTTATCAGCACCATTTTTCTAACAGCATGTGCTCACTTCATGTCCCTGTGTCATATTTTGGTAATAATTTCAATATTTAAACATTTTAAAAACTACTCTGATATATGTTATACTGAACTGTGATCCGTGATTTTTAATGTTACCATTGTAATTGTTTTGAACTATGAGCTGTGCCCATATAGAATGGTGAACTGAATTGATAAATGTTGTGTGTATTCTGACTGTTCCACCGACCAGCTATTCCTCCATCTCTCTCTCTCTCTGTCCTCGGGCTCGCTATTTCCCGAGACACAATAATATTGAAATTAGGCCAATTAATAACCCTACGGAGGCCTCTAAGTGTTCCAGTGAAAGAAAGAGTGGCGTGTCTCTCACTTTAAATCTAGCTAGAAATGATTAAACTTAGTGGGGAAGGCATGGCCAAAGCAGAGACAGGCCAGAAGCTAGGCATCTTGAATCAAACAGTTGATCAAGTTGTGAATGCAAATGGAAAGCTATTGAAATGAAAATGTTATTCCAGTGAATGCATGAATGATAAAAGAGTGAAACAGCCTTATTGCCAATGTGGAGAGAGTTCAATGGTCTGAACAGAAGTCAAAAGAAGCCTTCTGCATAAGTAAAAGTACAAAGTGAAGCAGCAAGTGCTGATGGGGAAACTGCAGCAAGTTATCCAGAAGATCTACCTAAGAACATTGATGAAAGTTGTTACACTAAATCACAGATTTTCAATGTAAAAAAAAAAGAAACTTTTATTGGAAGAAGATGCCATCTAGGACTTTTATAGGGAGAAATATGTCAATGTATGACTTTACAGTTTCAAAACACAGTCTGACTCTCTTGTTAGGTGCTAATATGCCCGGCAAAGTTAACTTGAAGCCAATGCTTATTTACCATTCTGAAAATTCTAGGGCTCTGAAAAATTATACTAAATATACTCTACCTGTGCTCCATAAATGAAATAATAAAACCTGAATGACAGCACATCTGTTTACAGTATAATTTATTGAATAATTTAAGTCCAGTTTTGAGACCTACTACTCTGAATAAAAAGAAAAAAGACTCCTTTCAAATTATTCCTGCTCAGTGACAATGCATCTAGTCACCCAAGAGCTCTAATGTAGATGTACAAAGACGAGAATGTTGTTCTCATGCCTATTAACACAATATCCATTGTGTAGCAAATTCTTCAAGAAGTCAGTTTAGCTTTCAAGTCTTATTGTATAAGAAATACATTTTGCAAAACTTATGTCATAGATAGTGATTCTTCTTCTGCATCTAGGGAAAACAAATTGATAAACTTACGAAAGTGATCCATCACTCTAGATGTCATTATAACATCTGTGACTCGTATGAGAAGGTCAAAATATTGGCATTAACAGGAGTTTGGAAGAAGTGGATTCCAATCCTCATGAAAGACTTTGAGAAGAAGTGAAGCCTTCAGATGTCACTGAATTATTGCAATCTCATGATAAAAGTTGAGCAGATGAGTTGTTGCTTCTTATGGATGGTAAAAGAGAGTGGTTTCTTGAGATGAATCCACCCCTGAGGAAGACGCTACACATTGTTAATATGACAACAAAGGATTTAAAATATTCCATAAACTTAGTTAATAAAGTGGCAGCAGAGTTTAAGAGAATTGATTCCAATTTTGAAAGAAATTATACTGTAGGTAAAATGCTGTCAAACAACATCCCATGCTACAAAGAAAAAAAAAATCTTTCATGAAAAGAAGAGTCAAGTAATGCGGCAAACTTCATTGCTGTCCTTTTTAAAGAAATTTCCACAGTCATACCAGCCTTCAGCAACCACCACCCTGATCAGTCAGCAGTCACCAACATTAAGGCAAGACTCTTTACCGGTAAAAAGATTATGATTTGCTGAAGGCTCAGGTGATCAGTAGTATTTTTTAGTAATAAAAATATTTTCAAATTAAGATATGTAAATGTTTAATGCTATTGCGCACTTAGTAAACTACAGTAGAGTATAAACATAACTTTTTTATAAAGAAAACTTAATTTTCTTATCTGGAAAAATGTGAATTATACCAATACTTACCTTACAGGGTTATTATGAGGTTTAAATGGATTTCTGTATGATTAAAATGTATAGAATAATGCTGAGAAATATGTATTATATAAGATTTATTGATATATTTATTATTGGTGAAAACACTTCTCACCTCTATCACAGTTTTATTGCTCACTTCAGTTTTGGATTGTAATTTCCACCATTTTAGTTTTTTATGAATCAGATTCCATATATTTACTATAGTATAGAACTCCTAAAATATACTTATCTTCTGGTTGGAGTTTTTAAATTATTTATTCTTTATTTTCTGTAGTTGCAGTTGTATTAAAGATAAGTATACCTTATATGACTATGTTTTGTGTGGTAAGTTGAAAGTGATGCAGATTTTTATGGTACAATAATAATAAATATAATTTTGGGACTAATAATAAAAGCAACCATTTAGTAAGTCATGAAATACAATGTCGATTTACTAAATATCTTATTATTATTATATCATTTAACAGTCGTAAAAATTGTATAGAAATAAATAAACCAATATTCACTCATTTGTTCCTTTGTAAGCTATTTTGTGTATAGTTGTAATGGTCATGTACTCTTTCAGTTACAAAAATTACCACAAACTTAGCAACTTGAACACACATCTGTTATTCCAGTTTTTATGGGTCAGAAATTCTAACCTTTCTGCTCCAGGGGCTTCCATGGGGCTGCAATGAAAATGGTGGCCAAAACTGGGATATCATCCAAAGGTGTGACTAAAGAACAATACACTTCTAAGCCCACTAACATAGTGGCTGGAAGGATTCAGTTTCTTTCAGGATG